GCCGCCTGTGCAACAAGTCCAGCCATGAAATTTCCTCACTTCTAAATGTTCCACAATCAGCTGTTATCAGCATTATAACAAAGTGGAAGCGACTGGGAACCACTGCAAACCCCCCGTAATACTAACATATGCTCAAAAATACATTTCTATTCATGATGATGAATCTAAAAAGACATTTGAAGCTTTCTGCTCTAATTGAAACTCTTTTGCATCATAATGTCTCATTTGCATAATCCCCTCTCATTTCCTGTCCTTTCAACCTTACTTTCAGTTAACAATGGCTGTATAATCCCCGTCACTCACTTCCTCAAACTGATAATCTGACTGTGTTACATCTGCATCTACTCATCCCCTCTGCTTTGCTCCTCACCTTCACTTAGCTCTTGCTGCTATCACACTTCATCATTTCAGCCCTCCTCTATGACGAGGTGTTCTTCCTCTTTGTTTATCGCCACGTGTCGAGCTTCTGGGATTCACATTTTCTGTAGCGTTCACCTTGCTGACTCCCGAAGCTCCACTGCTGTGTTTTTATACGACTGTGTACAGTTTCTTCCATCAGTGTGGCTCAGCAGGAGAGGAGGTGAAGGGTTTCTCTCATTTGTATGTAGAAAAGTTGGCGTGACATGACTCACAATCAAATACATTTATGTACTATATGAATGCTGTATTTTCAAACTGACATGTCTGCTTAAAATTTCCCTGTAGCTCCCAGGATCCAGCTTCTTTAAGCACGATCCTGGGAATCCCTTAACCAGGAAGGAAACTCAGGACTTTAAAGCACATATAAAAATACAGCTTACGAACCAAAATGAGGCATTGTTAAAGGATACATTTGTACCTTCTCATCCAAATATGGTAACTTCTGGCTTGAAGCAATAAACTCCAAAGCCGAGGCTTCAAAACACAGAGTTAAAATAAATGGATGATGTCAGTGTCAATCACAGTCCATCTTTAAACTGTCAGCGGATCAGAAACGCCATGAAATGCCTCTGGGACCCTATTTAGGCATTTACTTTGAAGTATTACTGAATCTCAACTTATTTTAAGTGGTCACATGAAAACATTGCTGATATAAAGTCAACAGTCAAATGTGAATTTTTTCAAAGGAAATTTTACTGACTTTGCCCCAGAACATGATTTTAAAATGCTTTGTACTCTGTGACGCCCGCAGCATCTGACAGACATGGAACTGGTAAAGCTGCAGTTGTAACTTCATTCTGGGATCTTTTGTGTTTGGGTGACATGAATCCCATGTGCACTGGAAAGCTGTAATAACATTTCTTTAAAGTTTCTGCTTTAAAGGATGCTAATGATGCTCTGTGTCACCCATGACAGTTTTAAAGAGGTTAAATCAGCCAGATTTGCACATCCAAAGACAATCAGGCGATCAATATGTAAGATTTATTCAAATTTATGGTTGTGAGATCTTCTTGAGCGTCGTCAATTCATCATTTTTCATCGCTATTTTCTCTTTCTTAGCAAGAGATAATATATAACGCTCTTTGGGGACCAGCCTAGCTGTCAGTGCTTCCAGTCTTTATGCAGACTATAAATTCTGCATTCTGACACGGGAGCTGGAAATAAAGAGAAACCCCCCTCAAAAAAACAAAATAACAAAGTTTATTTTCACACTAATGATCCCACGAGGCTGACGTTACGCAAAGTGGTTGTCACGCTTCATCTAAAGAGACCTGGTATTCAGACAGGGAAAAGGCAGGTGGGTGGAAAACAAGATGAAAACTGTAACAAGGCCTCAAGCGCAGAATGCAGCAGGTTTGTCTAAAAGAAAAAAAAGAGAGAGAATAATAATAATAATAATAATTCAGCATCTAGGACTCTAATTGGAGGAAACAACAATGGACTCTAGAACAAGGAAAAAGGAGAGACCGAGGGAGTCAGTCAGCAGTAACTACATGTTACTCGTTAGAGTTTAAAAATGTTTAAAACATTTAAAAACTTTAGTGATAGAAAGTAATTTGTTACATTGCCTGAAGCTAAGTCCATTGTTTAGATACAGTCTATCCTTCATTAATGCTGCTTGTTGTGTTTCATAGTGATGAGCAGCACGAGTGCTTCCTACACATTTAATAAAATACATATTCAATCCTTCCTTTCTGCCTGCCTTTGTTTTCTTGTTTCTCTACCTCTCCTTCTATTGTTCTTCCTTTCTTCCTTTTTGTCTTGTTTCTTCCCTTTCCTTCATTCATTCCCTATGGTCTTCCTAACTTTCCTCCTTTTCCTTCTCTATAAAATTTCTTCTTTCCTTCCTTCCTTTTTAGTCTTGCTTCTTCCTTTTCTTTCCCCTTAATCCGTCTCTATACCCTTCAGGTTCCTTTATTTCTGACTTTCTTCTTTTCCTGACTTCTATCCATCCGTCATTCTTTTCAAGTTTTATTTCTATTTTCCTTCCTTCTTCCTTTCTCTGTACCATTCCTTCTTTTGTTGGTTCCTTTCTTACCATACTTACTTCTGTCTATAATTTCTTCTATTCTTGCTTTTCTATTCTTTTCTTTCTATCAGTTTTCCTTCCATTTGTCCTTCCTTCCTGCCTTTTTAAAATTATTCCTTCCTTCCTTTCTTCAACCCCATTCCCTCTCCCTTTCTAGTCATTTACACTGTGTGTGTGTGTGTGTGTGTGTGTGTGTCTGTGTGTGTGTGTGTGTGTGTTTGCATGCGTATCAATAAAACAGTAATTAATGCGAAGCAACAAGAATCCAACAATGACCACAGTCACTGAAGAATCCCACGTTAAGAAGCTTTAAACTGAATTAAACAGCACGTTTAAAACTGTGGAGAATTAAATCCAGGTTAAAGCCAGACAAAGAAACTGAGGACTGTGAAGCATAAATATGCTAATTCTATAACACGGGATGTTTCCAGGTGACACAACAATACACCTCTGTTTATCCCGTACATGCTGCTGCAGCTCTCCACAGAGGAACGGTGAGATGGATCTAATGTACAGAGTAATGCTTGGCCCGAGGAGAACACGGGGAAGCTGCTGTGTCCTATTTGCGGCGATGTCGAGCTCATTTTGGAGAGCACCTCATTCTGCCTGCCCTGTGGGATCTTAGCCACAGGCTGGAATACAGTGCAATCTATCTGCTTTTCATCAGACGCAGTAATAGCCTCTCTGTTGTGTCTGCGTGATGCTAAAGTCTCACATCCACTTTATCTCATCTTATCAGATTGGATGTCGGGAAACGGCAGGAGGAGAAGCTGTACACGTTATCATTTCTTGCCATATTATAACATTTTGTTGCACACAGCAGAAAGCTGCAGGATCTCCTCTGAGGCGCATGTGTGTATACACTTCATAATGTTACTTCCTGCTCTCCCTCACCAACATGGGATCAAATCTGCTGGTACGTGCTCAACTTCATCTCAAAACTGCAGAAAAGTTAATCAGTTTGAGATGAATAAAATAAACTCTTGAGAAGTTTTGTAAAAATTAATGCTCCAAGGGTACTCCAATCCATCTGATGCCTCTGGTGTCATCTCGCCTTCAGGGGAGAACTTCTGGAAACCACTTAAAGCCCAAACCAAACATCTGAAGAAGCTGTAACATAAAAAAGAAAATACTCGGATAATAAAATAGCAGCCTCGGCCCCCCAAGAGTCTTATTGACTAACTCCTGGCAAGAAAGGGAATAAATGTATTTCTAAAAATGGGAAACAGCTCCTGTAAAGTCAGAGTTATGGCTGATGGTGTCAATAATTTATGAGTCTGTTTAGTGTGAAGTTGAATATATCTTTCATATTGATCATCTTGTTTCCTTTTTTGTACAAAAACTGTCCAATAATCTTTAAAGCTGCTTTATGTGGCTTTTTAGCCACCAGGGGGCAGAATAACAGCAAAGCTGAAAAACAATGCAGCTTCCTTTGTTCCTTCCTTCTGTCCTTTATTTGTTCCTTTTTTTCTCAACTACAATTATCTATCATTCTGCCTTTGTCCTTCCCTTTTTCTTCTCTATATTTATCCTACGTTCTGTCTTCTTCCTTCTTTCATTGTTTTTATATCCTTCCTTCTTTTAGCCTTCCTTTGTTCTTTTCTTACTTCTATCCTTCCTTCTTTCCTTTTTTTGCTTCCTTTCACGCAAATCTTTTTAATTATTGGTTTCCCTTCTCCTTTCCTAGTCAGCTACAGTGTTTTTATGTGATGTATGTGTGCCTGCATCTGTAGGTGTGTGTGTGTGTGTGTGTGTGTGTGTGTGTGTGTGTGTGTGCGTGTCTCAGTTTTATTGTTTTAGAGAGCGACGGCGTGAAGTCAGCCACCCTGGACACACTTGAGTGAACTGGCGGGGAGTTTCATTACGCTGTGAAATAACGATCACACCGTGATTAAGTTGATTAGATTTCATGAATATTTGAAAGGCAAACTAAATTGCTGATTAAATATTTACTGGTGGTTTCCTCGCTGACAGACTGGGAGATCATATCACATCTCCCTAACGGCCTACTGTACAGCTTCAGCGCTACAGCAGCATCGGATAACTGTATGTTAATCAGGTACGTGGTTGTTTGTTTAACTGAAGTTTATTTTTAGGTTTGCAGCTGATTATTTTATCTAGTCTGCGTGTATGAAGTAGGACTGTGACCAAAATGCTTTAATTGTTTTTATTTAAAACTGGGTTTTTCGTGTTTGGTCCTCTTCACTCATGCTTCAACTTTACAGCAGTCACCCCCAACATTCAAACCACCTTTTGGTCTGAGGACTTTGGCAGCGGATCCTTTGGGAGCTGCTCGTCCTGGTCTGGGGGCGTTCCTGGATCAGGTTTATTCTGGTGGTCAGACTGAAGTTGCTGTAGTGCTGATACTGCCAGGAGAAGCTGCTGCTGTTGATCAGCACATATCCATTAGTTACTTACAGACACAATCAACACTGGCACAAACTTAAACATGAACAAACTCTTCTCATGCAGTTATTATTGAAATTTGTTGAAGGGAACATGAAAAACTATCTTATAAAAGGACCAACATCAAGGTTTGAAGTTCACGTCATAAAACTCAAACAAAATCTGAAAGTGGCTGCTGCACAAAACAGTTTCTCTGTAGTTTTTGCTGGTTTTAGAAATGTAGTTTTAACAAATCTTTAAACTTTAGTACTCTGACATACTGAATGTTTTGCACCTTTTAAGCTACATGAGCTGAGCTCACTCTAACATTATGCACGTGTTATTATCTGCTCCTAAGATTAAACAAATAATAAATAAAGGTAACTCATCCCACGCATAGTTCCAGTCATTGTAACCTCAGTCACAATAAAGTTTTTGTTTAATTTTTATGGGAAAAAGTAGCTTTTGTTGGCTTATTTCTGAAACCAGATGGTCTTTTTGCCCTTTGAGAACCAAACTGAATAATTTTTTTCACAGAGTAACTTTGTTTTTTCATATTGTGAGAAAAAAACAACAGCAATGATAATTACCAGAGGAACCTTTGCAAGCTTGGGGGAGGATATGAAGACTGGGTTCAAATCCAGGATCCAGATGGCTTTAGCAGATTCTAATGTGATTCCAAACACGCCTGAGTTCCCGGGTTCAGTGTATATGTTTGCAGTGCTAAACAGGTTAATTGGCTGCAGTCGTCATGCTGCTGTTTATACAGCTGAACCTGACTCTACTCATATGAAAAGCCATGGATAAAGGTCAACGCTTTAAAGTGAGCTTATTTATTTTTCCTGGTGCTCATATATTTACTGATAGAAAGCCACAGCTGGGTCACCGAAGCTTCTTAAAGAGAGGATCTTTAAAGCCTCGTTGTCACCTGCAGTGTCTGGTCTGTAAAAAGGGTTGCAGTAAAAATATGGGAGTATAAAACTCACAACATCAACATCATTACAGACTAACAGAACATACAGCTATCAGTCTCACGTGACATAATAAACCTTGTAAAGCCAAGTGCATCATATTTGACACACAAGTATCACCTGTGTGATGCTCTATTTTCAAAAACCATCATGCCTCATGATGAGTTAGCTGCTTTAGGGAAACAAAGAGCACAGGCGGCACCAAGTGGCAGCAAGAGGAAACTGCGTTAGCTTTATAAAGCTGTTTGTCAAAATCTGGCCAATAAATCTTTGAGTCGACATGTGAGACAAATTGTAGCGGATTGTTACCATGACGCCACGCTACGCCCCTACAACGTCATTGGAATTCATCTGATGTGTGCCATGGTATGCACATTTCTAACTCCTACATCTGTGGAGGAACTTTGAATTTCAGAAATCCAGTGTGAGCCTCACCAGACAGTAAAGTGTCAAGCATTTGCTACACAAAGATACTTTTAAAATGTCAACACACTCAAAGAAAGAAGAGTGAAATAAATACGGACGGCGAGTGAAGACATAGCTGATTATTTAAAAAACACATTTAAAAAATTACTTTTTCAGACCTGTTTGTAGATTGAATGTCAAGTTTAAAAATTTGACTGTCTGGATGTTTAATCATTGACTCTAACAAAATAAAACCGTTCCAGTTGTATTTAGACTCAACAGTCTGAGTGTTCGGCGCTGCAGCTCTCACTGAAATTAATTTCTCCCCTATCGCTCCTCACAGACTTTTTGATAAGATATCTTGCAGTGAGCAGCTGGTGCGTAACACGGATCTGATCAGAAGGATCTTAATTACAAAAAACAAAACTGAAAGTCACTCTTCTTTAAGTGACACATTTCATCCAATCACACCGACAAAGGAAACAGCACGTATAGTTTGTTCAGTTCACTGTGACTTTGTACCCACAAATAAATAAATAAAGCTTCTTCTTCTGGAAAGCAGCTTAAATGATTTACTGATTTACTCCACTGCGCACAAGTCTTGGCGTTCATCCTGCTTTTAAGCAGCTGTTTGTGAAAAATGATCCGACATGGTAAAATGTAGCTCTCCATCACCAGTGTGTAAATGTGTGCGTGAATGGGTGGATGACTGGATGTGTAAAGCGCTTTGGGGTCCTTAGGGACTAGTGAAGCGCTATACAAATATACAAATACATATATGTCTGTAAAGGTTTCAGATGATGAACAGTTGGTTTTTACATGAAACATCCCAGCCAATACCAGTTTACTGATGACGGGTCCTCTGGACTAACCAATACTTTCTTCACAGCTTGTGACAATTTTCGTTTTCTTTTGGCCACCTGGATGCAAGAGCAGGATATCACTTTGGATCCTTTGTTGATATATTTACTGTGATAAATCTATACAGTAGATTGTATGTGTGTCTGAATCTGCTGCCTTGACTACACTTACTCAGACAACAGAACTGATGCACTCTGCAGAGAAATGATGAAGAATGTGCGTACTGAAAAAGGACTCAAGGAGTGCAAATCTAATGAAACCAAATATTTGATTGGTTGAGGTCGGTAGAAGTGCTGCTGAGACTTTGATTAAAAAACAAAACAAAACAAGCGAACTGGCACGTTTCAGTCTGTCCAGATATTTTAAGTGTCCCGCCGCTTCACAGACCTGCCAGGTTTTAGATGGGTGCAAGCGGCTGAGTGTCAGAGTTGATAAACGTCATTTACTGCAGGCACTTTAATAAACAAGCATGGCGAGCTTTTGGCTTACAGTTCAAACTCTGCTGAAGGAAACTGAAGCAAACTTAAGTACCCTGGGACTTTGAAGAGAAATGGCGATAAAAAGAGTTGATCTGGATCAGGGCGCCTTCTCTTGTTTGCTCTGTTTGGATCTACTGAAGGATCCGGTGACTATTTCCTGTGGACACAGCATGAACTGTATTAAGAGTCACTGGGACATGGAGGATGTGAAGAAAATCTACAGCTGCCCTCAGTGCAGACAGACTTTCATAGCGAGGCCTGTGTTGGTGAAAAGCACCATGTTAGCAGTTTTAGTGGAGGAGCTGAAGAAGACTGGACTCCAAGCTGCTCCTGCTGATCACTGCTATGCTGGACCTGAAGATGTGGCCTGTGATGTCTGCACTGGAAGAAAAATGAAAGCCTTCAAGTCCTGTTTATTCTGTCTGGCATCTTACTGTGAGGAACACCTTCAGCCTCATTATGATTCACCTACATTCAAGAAACACAAGCTGGTGGAGCCCTCCAAGAAGCTCCAGGAGAAGATCTGCTCTCGTCATGATGAGGTGATGAAGATGTTCTGCCGTACTGATCAGCAGAGTATCTGTTATCTCTGCTCTGTGGATGAACATAAAGGCCAC